TGCAAGAGCTCACCAAAATTGGACAGTTGAAGACTGGAAAAATGTTGCCTGGTCTCATGAGTCTCGATTTCTGTTGAGACATTCAGACGGTAGAGTCAGAATTTGGCGTAAACAGAATGAGAACATGGATCCATCATGCCTTGTTACCACTGTGCAGGCTGGTGGTGGTGGTGTAATGGTGTGGGGGATGTTTTCTTGGCACACTTTAGGCCCCTTAGTGCCAATTGGGCATTGTTTAAATGCCACGGCCTACCTGAGCATTGTTTCTGACCATGTCCATCCCTTTGTGGCCACCATGTACCCATCCTCTGATGGCTACTTCCAGCAGGATAATGCACCATGTCACAAACCTCGAATCATTTCAAATTGGTTTCTTGAACATGACAATGAGTTCACTGTACTAAAATGGCCCCCACAGTCACCAGATCTCAACCCAATGGAGCATCTTTGCGATGTGGTGGAACGGGAGCTTTGTGCCCTGGATGTGCATCCCACAAATCTCCATCAACTGCAAGATGCTATCCTATCAATATGGACCAACATTTCTAAAGAATGCTTTCAGCACCTTGTTGAATCAATGCCACGTAGAATTAAAGGTGCCCTAGAATGTTTTTTTATTTTATTTTATAATGTTTCCTGGGTTACCCTTATAATGTTAGTATGTTTTTTAGATAAAAAATAATCATAATTTAGAAATAAATGGCATTTTTCCTAGCCTGCTTTTAGCCTCTGATTTGAACACTCTGTTTGAAGGGGCGTGTCTGCTGTGGGATTCAGTGTAACCGCGGCCACTGCTGTGATTGGCTGACATGCTTGCATATGAAATAGCTACGCATTACATGTGAAACTCTCCCGAATACTTTTACTACTGCTATTATACGTTTTTACTATAACAGCTATCGAGATTAACGAATCGTGAGATGTTTTTAAAGTATTTAGATCTATTCCCATCACATAAAATGTTGCCGTGATGAGCATTGAGCAGATGACAGTGTGTTGATCGCGAGAATGAAGATCTTATCATTGCAAAGCAGTTTCTGCACTCTCTCTGCTTTCACCAATGCAAACACGATGATGTAAATACAGTAAGAGCTTTGTTGTGCAGTAACGTGCGTCATTGATTTCATAACGAGTTTGGCAAGTGTCCAGATAAACTCGCGCTGTGTGGAAAGATGGTTCTTTGACCGCTTTCTGTATATAATTTGTTCACAATTTAAATACGATTATTTTCATCCTACTAAAAGAAACGATGTGAAGCTGATATTTTAGTCACTGGCTTGACTTACTGATGCATAAACAGTATTGAACGATTTTGAGAGAAAGATTACCTGTCTGAACTTGAACAATTACACATCAGAAAGTGTTGCTTGGTAGCTCGATCCGAGGCCAGCTCTGTATTGGCCCAAGTTGAGGAAACACTCGGTGAAATGTTTGGAAATTTCCAGAGAAAATAAAATTAACCCATTGTTTCTTCAGAGGCTCAGATGAAGGAACTAAAAAATACTTTTGTGTTCATGTGTACATCCACACTGAGCAACTGCCATGCTTCGGCTGCGCAGTTCCGCCTGGCATTGAGGGCTGGCATTATGCAAATATTTGGAGGCGTACATATTAATGATCCCGACTATTGCGTCACAGTCGGTATTGTGTGGAGAACCACCCGTTTTTCAGGGGTGTTTTTTCATAAACGTGAATTAAATGAGAACGCGAAAACAGTCCAGTTTGAGATTCACTCTATGTCATGTCCATGCACTGAACTCTTGTTATTTGACTATACCAAGGTAAATTCAATTTTGAATTATAGGTCACCTTTAAGGCAGTTCTGAAGGCGAAAGGGGGTCAAACACAGTATTAGTATGGTGTTCCTAATAATCCTTTAGGTGAGTGTATATGTAAATAAGTATTTAATCATACTGAAAAACTCTGATCTGTGTTTGATGACATTGCAGGTTACTGAATGAATTGAATCACCAGCAAACCATGGGAAGCATTGAACACTGCATTGGAACACTGCGAATCAGAATACAGCTAAGCAAAAATTTATTTACAGTATATTGTTATCATAATAGCACATCATATTTTGCATAGAGTGCACTTTTAAGTTTCTAACTTTTTTTAGTCCAATTCTCTGTTTGGTGAAAAAGCACCAACATAAATTAATGGAGTGCGTCTCAATCTGCTCCCTAGTTCAGTAGTCACTTCCCAGGGAGTACTTCCCATTTCTAGAGGCTGTCTTGTCGAAATCAGCATCCCAAGTCTCTTAAATGTTGTTCATGATATTGATTCACAACATAGCGAATGAGATGCATAAAAAAAATTTATAATGTGCCATTTAAAGTAAAAGAACAGATGCTTATGGGCTTTAAATGGAATAGAGTAGTGGCCTTACGGTGCACTAGAAGAGCTGCTATGCTTTTCACACATGACATTGTCACAGGTGTGTTAAAAACGCTCCGTCACTCCATCAAAGGTGCCTGCAAACAGGCTGTGATGGAGGAGGCGAGCGCAGGGTTGGCGCGACCTGTTCTGAGTGACAGGTGCAGTCGGTCACCCACTAGAGTGCTTGATAGAGCAGTGATGCTGAGATGTGTTTCACATCCTTTTAACATGTTACTTTGAGAGACTTTTTTTACATGTACATTTTATTTCAAAGCTAAATTTATGGATAACCGCATTTCCAAAATGTGCTTTTTTGAGACTTGATCCTATCAAAGATACTGGATCTGGATTGACCACCAAATGTAAACTAATGGAAATCACCCAAATGGTTTTATTATCACACTGACAAATGTGATTATCATAACGGTAAATGCCCACACCTTGGTGTCCATGTGCATAAAGTGTGCACATATACAGTACATAAAGTGTATACTTCAAGGTATGCTAAAGGTGCAGCATCTGTATCTTTGAGGGCACATTTTTCCTGACAGTGTAGAATATTTTGGTGAGCAAAAAATATAGAATGGGTGCTGAATTTTATAATCATAGCAACTTTTTGGATTGTTAATTTACATCAGTATGGCAACTTCATTTACATTTTGGATGGCAAGTTTATATACGGTTTGGGTTTTAGGTAGCTTTGCTTCTGCTGTATTGTTATAAAGATTTCTGCATCTTCACATCAAAAACAATGGACAGTGAGGCCCAAAAGTTTGGGACTACTAGTAAAAAACACTTAGGCCTATATATTTATATATATTTTTTTATTCAAATGTTTTATTATAATGATATTTTCACCAGCAATTTGACCAAAAAGCTGATTTAAAAAAAAATAATAATAATAATCTGATGATTGTGTTCTCATCAAGATTTGAGAAGGTTCCATTGTGTGCGTTATTGGAAGTACATCAGACCTTCAGGACCAAGCAGTTCACAAGATCAGTCATAATTTAATTTTGGTAGTAAAGTGCAGAATCTTAAATGTTTCTTATTCATCTTATGTCCTAACATTTCTACAGTTTTGGATTTCCTGGTTTAAACTTGACATCTAATCCCAGATTCAAACTTTTGGACTGCATTGTGAGATGTTGGCTGCTGTCTAGTATGGTATAAGTCTCTCAGACCCAAACAATAGGACATGCAGTTGCATTTCAGCTTACCTCAGTGTGTTTGTGCTTTTCTCACAAAAACACAACAGGAGACTTACCTTAAGCTCCACTTAAAGCACAGTATGTGTCTGAGAAAAAAGTATTTATTCTTTAAGAAATAAAACCATTTTTATTGTGCTCTTTGACATTTCCACCAGACATGAAAGCCCTTTGAGATCCATTCTTTTTCTCTTACAATCAGCCCATACATATGGCTGTTTTCAGGCTGCTGTACATTCACCAAGTCATTTTCAACTTACTTTCAGTGTCCATGGAAAATCTGGAGTGCTACAGTTTGCAGTATAAGAGATGACAATCAACTCAACAAACCTGTTAATGAGATACAGTGAATGTAAGTTGAACCTTAAAAAGTATGGATTTTCACTGGGGACATGTTTTTCAAAGATTTGAGTATGATAATCAAATATTTAAGATTTATTCACGCACAAATGAAGGGAAAGATCCGAGAAATCTTCTGGCTGTTTAAAGAAGACCTTGATGATTATACAGACATTTTGATTAAATAATTATACTGTCCCTATTATCATGCATTAGTCCTTTCTTGTAGACATTCATTTAGCTCTCACAGGAATTACCTGGAATTGGCTAAACGTTTTAAACTTAATTGTAAAAACAAAACAGAAACAATCTTCATGTTAGGTACAAGATGACAGTGCATGTTCAGGATCAAGCTGCCGTAGAGAAACCATTTCCAATTTCAGAACAATATGCAATAATTCTGTTCAGTATGACAACAATCATTCTGACAATGGCATTTTCATTCACAAAATCAGTTGGCAGAATGACATTGTTTAACATATTACCTCGACCTGACAAAAATCTAAAACGATCCACTCGTGTTTTTGGATAGGGGATATGAAGGCTAAAAAACAACACTGTGCACTCTAGGCCTTAATATTTGGTTGACAACATTTCTGTCAAGTATTTGACATGCACTTTGATTCAGATATAATTTAAATGTCATGTTATTTCACTCCATGAAGCAGGGTGTTGTAATGTCTGGTTTCACAGTACAGGTCTTAAAATTTGCTTCCTCAAAATTTAGAGGCCAATTCCATTGTTCAAATCAGTGGAATCTAAATTGTCTATCAGCATTAATGGCGGTGAGAAAAGATTATGTTATTAGGGCTGCCTAGATCAGCACTTTAGACCTGGATTAACAGCCGTAGAAGACATGGCTCTGTTGAATCTCAGTGAAAAGAAAAGAAAAAAACCCACCAGGATTGATTTAGCTCTTGGGGTTCACAGTGGTTTAAAGTAGGCATGTTGTAGCAATATCTTAGGAAATAGGAAATATTTCTGAAGGTCTTGCAAACAAGAATCAAACTGGGTTTGAGGCTGAACTAGGCCCCAAATATTGTAAAACTGATGTTGGAGAAAAATAGTTTTTACAACAGAGTACATTCATTCTCCGATATGCAGGACTTGTGTGGAGTTTGTGGGTTCAGTTTTCTCAGTAGCACTGCTTGAAGATCTGTTAATGAAATACAACCATAGAAAGCCAGTTTTACCTGCACAGCTGTGTCTGTATGTAATTGTAATCACATTGCAGGTGTAAGTCTTAAGGACTTGAAACATTCATTGTATGTTTGAAATTGTAAACTTTACAAAAAAGAATGGAGAAAGCAGTGAGAGAAGCTTTTTTTTTCTGAAAAGTCGTTGTTTTAAAATCCAGTAGAGGTGTGCTTCTGTAGCAAATTCAGCGGTTGTCCTTTGAACAGTCGCTAAAGAAGAAGAAAAAAAGAGCGTTTTCAAAGTTGCGCAGTCTGTATAAAAACCTAAGGTTGGGGAGAACAGTGTTCGGCAGACATTTTGAGTTGTATGTTTTTCCAAGTACACAACAGTCAATACTGTCACAGGACACGGCCATGCGATAACCAAAGATTAATTGTAATAATAAGAAGAATCAATCTTAACAGTAATACTACTAATCAATGATGGTCATGATGATGATGATGATCATATAATAGTAGTTTATTGTTATTTCCAATATATAAAAATCAAATGTTGAGTTGAGGTTAATACTGTTAAAAGTTTTCTATTCTTACCACTTGGCACGTACACTCACTGCAAGGTCTACAGTATCTTGTATTTAGTTTTCATTCTCAAACAGAATGATTGAAAAGAGCTAGCAATACTTCTAAGCTATTTCTCTAAAAGTGAGTGCTTGCTTGTCACTTAATCATTGATACTGGCTGGTTTGGTCCAGAGATTTGTGTAGTCTTCTTTAATTGGATGAGCTATAAAAACAGCAATCATGATTTCTGCTGAGCAGAGACCCCTTTCCAGTAGTCCAGAATGTCATGTAGGTCCTCATCTTTGGCAAACTGTACTTTCCTCCTTAATGCATGACCTGCTGCAATGTACTCTTCCTCATCCCTATGACGTTTGCGGTGGAGTTTAAAACGTTCCCACAGGTTAAAAGAAGGCCTACAGCTGTACTCAGGACTGGAATAGCCACTTAGGTTGTGGTACTGTGGTGAGAGCTGCGAATAGGACAGCTCCCGTGGTCTCGAGCGCGTCAGCGGCTCCAGAATGGAGGACTTTCGGCTCCCTGACACCTCTATCGACTCCTCTATGTGGTGGGGACCAGGGTAGGAGTGCCTATGCTCACTGTACTGTCGAATCCGCTCTGCCTCTGCCCTCAGGATCGCAGCCGCTGGCGTGACTGTTATGATTCCTGACTCATCGAGCGCAGATGCCTTCTCAATATATTTGGACTCTGATCTGTAAGCTCCTTCAGAACGGAAAGAGCGTGGACTGCGGAGCGAACCACTCGAGGACGTGCTTGCACGCTTTTGTGGGGCATCCATACTGTGATGCCTCTGTAGGGGATGATGGTACGATCCTTTGTACACTGGAGACAGAAAACCAGACTTGCCTGGTGGATGGTCTGATATGAGGACTAACTGCGGCTCCGCTGTGGACACGGCACCGGATTTTCCGGCCTGGAATGATGTTGAATCGGATTTGAGTGCGTCGATGCAGTTGTTAATGATCTGGTTCACTTTGTCCACTTCTTTTGCAATGGTGGATATCTCTGCAACAGATCCCTGGCTGGTTTCCGATGGAGGAATGCTGCATTCCCTCACACTGCGTTCTGGTTGCTCTGATCTCACTTCCATGTAATTCCCTTTTGTAGTCTTTGGTGTCCCAGAGATCTCTTGCATCTTATACTGATATGTGTCACTGGCAGCTGGCAAGTATGGCATCCTTTGTACTGTTTCACCAGTGGACAGAATTTGCTTTTGTGACAGCTGTGATATAGTCCCTTGTTCCAGTTCAGTTCCATATTTCATCTCAATTAAGTTTCTTTTCATCTTTTCCAGCTTCTTACTCTTTGGCTCATCTTGATGTTTGCGCTTTCTCAGGCAATGAAACACTATACCCAGTACAATGAGCATCCCAAAGAGACAACCGAGGATGGTCATAATGTAATGAGTAGCAGTTGAGTCATTTGCCACACGTTCTTGCAATGTCCTTGGCCCTGTGGAGATGGTCAGGCAGGTGTGGTTGAATCTCAAGGAGTTACGAATAGATGCCACACAATATGTGTAGTTAGTGTGAGATTTAAGGTTCTGTAATTCTATTTCTTCTCTCTGGCTTTTCAGGTTTTGGATGTCAGTGAAGAAGCTGTTATTGTACAGGACAAGGATGTACATTTTGCGAAATGGATTTGGAATCTGGATCATGATTATTGCACTTGTTTGGGTAACTTCTTTTAGTTTCATTATAGGACGGGCATCTGGATCCAGAAAGGTGGGACTGATGCTTATGGACTCTTCTGGAAATGTCCCTGAGGAACAGTCATCCAGTCCGCAAGGGCTCAAATCAGGCAACATCGTGGGAGTGCTCCCGTCTGAAGAGCCGTGAAGATACGGTGTCACGTTGTCATCGGTGCAGACAGAGGAGAGTGCATGAAAAGCATTGCGAAATCTTGGCATTCTGGGGTTCTGACTCAAGAGACTGTAGCCTGAAAAGCCAGCGGGTGTGTCACACACCATCCGCTCACTTGTCCGGTTTGGGAATGCAACAAGCCAGCGCAGGAATCCTAACAGCTCACATGAGCAACTGAACGGGTTTGCATAGAGCTCGCAAGTCGTAAGCTTCGATAGACCACGAAATGTAGCACCATCAAGCTGCTGAATTCTGTTCATGGAAAGGTCGATGTTTTCAATCGCAGGACACTCCCAGAAGGCATTGGCTGTGACAGTCTCGATCAGGTTAGCCTGAAGATAGAGGTACTGTAAGCGTCCCAAACCTCTTAGCATTCCCTCGGTCAAGTTCCTTAGCTTGTTGAAGCCAATTTGCAACACTTGGAGATTAAATTGGGCTGAGAAAGCCCCATCTTCAATGTAAGATATGTCATTCTTAGTCAGATTCAGGTATGTGAGATTGCCGAAACGACTTAAGGAAGAATAGTGGATGCTTCGAATCTTGTTCTCATTGAGTCGCAGGTCAACAATTGTGCTGTTAATATGCAAGGGGATATTTTCGTATGGTGGCTGGTTCTGGCTGCAAATTGCCAACCACACAAATCCCTTTTCCCCTTCAATCAGCCAGCAATCACCTTGGACAACAGGCACCCTTGTCAATGAGAGGAACACGAGAGCCATAGCCCAGCAAAGTAAGGCACTGGTCACCATACCTCCTCCATGTCCACTGGACCCAGACGAAATGGACATCTGTGCTTCAGTCATAGCTCCAGGCGTTTTTTGTTTTGTTTACACAGGTTATGATCTTCAGCAGTATTCAGCAAGATATTCAACAAGTCTTTGATTTGTAATTGGATGTGTTGAAATCACATGGATGATTGTTCAGTGCTGTTAGGAATATCAGCTTTAGAAAAAAAAACAATTATCGTTTTTATCTTTTCAGTGTATGCTTGGTGTCTTGTCACACTGGAAAGGAAGCTTCATTTATGACCAGAGTCTATGTTCATTAGCTTTTCAGATAGCGTATCTGAGCATTTCCATGCATAGCCTCCCACGGGGCAGGAAGTGCTTGTGTTTTCCGAGGACCTCATTTCTCATCAGATTCCCCGCTCATGACCAGATTTTCGTTTTGTGTCCTGTAGAAATAGGAAGAAAGAACATGATTATTGATATTTGAAAAAACTAGGTCAAGTCCTAACAATACTCCTTCAGTGAGAGTAACAAGACTAAGAAATCATATAAATGTGAATATTTTGCTTAGCGCCAGTGTTAATTTCGTTGACGAAAATAACGACGAAAATTATTCGTCAACGACATTTTTTCACAGACGAAAACGAGACGATAACTAAATAAAACCTAGTTTTGAATGACAAAGACTATGACGAAAATCTATTGACATTTTCGTCAACGAATAAAAACTAGACGAAAATGTTAGATAGTGACGATTTGGGAAGCGATCCGTCAGAACTGATGTCCTGAGCGTGTGTGATAGATAGATGCGCACATTTGTAGGCTACTGTAACGTGATCTACCCCGCGGTCATAAAACGTTAAAAAATGTGAACGTCTGGGAGAATGAGTAGAGCAGACATATAGATCTGAATAAGAGTGACGATGCAAAAAAGAGTTCTATTCGGTGCGGTTTTCTGTGCGCACACACCTAACCCGAAGCGTGCAGTCATGCACAATACACCTACAGCGCGCGATTAGGCTACTGAATTGAGCTCTCTTTCGTGTCTGAATGGACAAATACACACAACAGTCTGTCTAAATGTCCGTTTTAGAGAGTATTCATGTAAACTATGCTGGTTATGTCTTAAACTGTGAGTGTATCGGATGTGCATCAGTGCAATTGTATCCGCATGTCATTGGACATGATCCGACGTCTTAAAGTGACAGTGGCGATAAACATAATGCGGTCCGTGTCCTTAATTTTGATCAAGCAACAAAAGAAAAAGAGAAAAGCATTCACTGTTTGTTAATAGCTTTAATAAGGATTAATTATATTGAATTCATACAAATAAATATGTCTGCTTGAAAGAATAAAGAATGATGTATGCAAGTAGTTATAAGGAATGCATATATCATTCATTGTAAAGAAGACTGTGTTGTACTTTAGGAAAAGTGGTTTTATTTAATTTTAAGATATTTTTTAAGTAACAGCAGTTAAATCTGTATCTGTATTGCATGTTCAAACTTAAAAATCATTCATATTAATAGGTTAATAGATGTTTTCTCCGGGAGTAAATGGGTTTGGAAATTTTAGAGAAATTCTAAATTAACGCATTACAATTGAACTAAACCCATTATATTTTAGTCGACTAAATCTACTGTAGATTTAGTCGACTAAAATGTTATTGTATTTCGTCGACTAAAACTAGACTAAAACTAAAACAATTCAGATGACTAAAATATGACTAAAACTAAATGCCATTTTAGTCAAAAGACTAAGACTAAAACTAAATCAAAATTTGCTGACAAAATTAACACTGCTTAGCGCATTATAAAATAACCCACTTACCCAAACTTAATGCCATGGTGCTTTATAATTAAATCCAAATGAACACCCACTACTTCCGGTCTACCTCAATTTCCAACTATTAATGGCAATACGGAGTGCAGAGAGTTGTCTAGTGACATTTTTAGAGCTATTTTTAAAAAAGTTGTTTAGCTGACGCCATGTTTTTCACCTACCGAGAGCTAAAGTTAGCGCAGATCAATCACATAGACACCCCTGCTTGCTTTCCGAGGCCAATTAACGTCTAACAGCTTAGCTCATCCTGATAACACAAACACACACACACACTCCAAAGAGAAGAGTTTACTTTTACGTCTATCCACCTTATTAGCTTATGAGACCCTCTGCAAGGAAAATCCCTAAAATAGACTGCTTTTTTAATTACAGCGTGACCTAAATCCAACAAATGTTAAAGAGAGAAAAACATTCAGTTGCTGAATGGTGTTTTAGATAAGGAGTATATATTGCCAGTGCCTCTTTTTAAGAAAATGCAAAAAAATTCCTGTGCTACAGTATGTTAGATAAAAATCCCTCAAAGTGTAGGTATTGGAAAATGTGTTACGAGTCCAAACAGAGTGTGTTGTACAGGGGACTAAAAATATGCCAGCCTAACATAATCCCCAACATAATTAAAGCACAGTAAAAAAAACAATATATCATCATACATTAGATAATACTGGTGCTGTTATCAAATTGATGATGATAAATTGGATTTTCACTGTACTTTGATTAATCTGTTTTTACATTGAAAAGGTAGAACAACTAAATTACAGTATAGAAAATGAAAATAAAAATCATTTAAATGTTACCGGGTGCATTTCATTGCATTTTTTACTAACTTGACCTGTAAATTTGAACTTTTAAACATAAAATCCATCCCCATGTTTGTGAGGAGACACATGCATTTAGCTATAAGAGAGAGCTACTCTGTAAAAGTAGAACAAATTCATTTTCTAGAAGCGGGCGGATTGCGTGTTCCTGTAGAACTGCCGTGATTATGTGATGGATAGGCTGTGATGTGGCTAGTCTAGCTCTACAGATTGTACCTTATATTGCCAGTGTACTACCTGTTTCTTAAATGGGCCAACCTGATGATGACAAACATTTTTCTCCCTTTAAATCCTAGTATACAGTATATGTCTGGGCTTCGTGCTGACTGGGCTTCAAAGTCCTGGTGCTCTAAATGGCCAGTCTGTGTGTGTGTGTGTGTGTGTGTGTGTATGTGTGTGTTTGCAGGACCCTTCATATGGATGCTGTCTGGTTGGCTTTTGACAGTTTACAAAGTCTTCATTTCACAAGAGCTTTGTATACAGTTGAAGAGGTGGATAGGAGTGGAGACGGGGTGAAAAGAGGGTTCTGTGGCGTGAATCTTTCATGGCGTTCAAACTGTTGTATGTGCTCTCACTGTCACAGTACGCTGTGAGTGTACCCCGTCTGCAAACGAATCACTGTTCCAATACGTACCCTTCTCATACCAGCTATTTAAGAGAGAATAGTTCTCACATGTTGTGTTTTACTTTAGGTATTGTGTGAACACTCTTAAGCACATATCGACAAACTCAAAGCTGTATCTGTTAAATCATTGTTTGACTTTTTTTCTTCCGGAATAATGGCTAACAACAGCAAAGTGGGCCAGGAGAGTAGGCCTTGAAGTCAACATAGGTAAAACAGAAGCACTGAGTAACCAAGAATATGCCGGTCTGGACATGGCAATACATAAGCATCAGCACATAGAGCTAGATGGACAGACCATCGAATGGACCAAGATCTTTAAATATCTTGGCTCCCACATCGCCTCTAGCGAATCCGACGTCAAAATATGAGGGGGCCTTCTGGAAGATAAAGAATGTATTTCAGTCAAGAAGTCTTCCAATTACACTCAAGATCAACATATTCGAAGCTGGTTGTGTCTCAATCCTGCTCTGTGGTTGCGAGAGCTGGATCCTTAGCAGCAAACTCAGAGACCAGCTCAACAGTTTTGCCACCAACTGCTACAGAATCATGCTTGACATAAAGCGTCCGGACAAGAAAAGCAATAAAGAGATTTATGAAAGAGTCGGCCGCAACCAACTCGTTCTTCAAGTACAACAGAGGCAACTAAGATTTGTAGGACACTGCCTAAGAAGACAAGAGAGCGACTTGATCAACAAGTATGTGTTGTACGCGCCACAGCAGCGGCATGGCAAAAGAAGTCGAGGCAGAGCACGAAATCTATACCATCAATATATCGGCGAACTCATCAATAAGGACGTACCAGCAACAGCGAGCGAACTACGAAAAGTTGCCAGCGATCGCAAGGAATGGAGAAAATTAGTGACCGACTGTCAACCCTGTCCGCAGCCGATTGATGATGATGATAACGGCTATATAAAATAAGATATAAATATCCCACATTTCTAGATTAGATTACAAAATAGCAAACCAAATGGCATTTGCGAGGAATTCCCCCCCCCCCCCCCCCAAAAAAAAAACTTGAATAGAACATTTCTTAAAAGAACCATTTTCTTCTTGATGTGAACAACATTTTAATTATCTGAAGAACCGTTGTTCCTCTATAAAAACCTTTTGTGTAATAGGAAGGTTCTGCTAAAAAGGAAATTTTATTTTTAAGATTGTATATCTATTGTTTTATCAGTTAAATCGGGTAACTTATTTTGCTGAATTTTTTTTCTTTCTTTTTTTGTGACAAATGTGCTTTCGCTGTGTTTCTTTAAAATAAATGCCATTTGGTTCAATATTTGGAATGTAATGCAATGATATTCATATATTTGTAAGTGTATGGGGTAAGTATTTTGGGGCCACTGCAGCTGTCTAGGACACACACAATTCAATCAATAGAGACAATTATACTATAAATGTGTCTGTACTTGATAAACTGGACATTCGGCAAATGCATAATGCATTTCAGGATGAATAGAAATAATAGTTTGAGGCGGCATTATTTTATAATGCATGCTAAATATATCATCTGAAATATTTGTTGTGAATGTTTGAGACAGCTTTATAACTGATACACCATGTTTGAATCACAATAAACTGTTTTAAGAGTGCAGTAGTCATGAGAACAAGACTCTGGCTCAGTCAGTCGCCCCAAAACACTTAACCTGCATGTCAAACTGTTCATAAACTTCAAAGGAAATGGCTTATTGCTTTAGATTCCATGAACTAACTTGATGCACTTCTGCACAGCAAAAGAGCGTTCAAGCAGTCAGACTAACATTCAGTACTGTGTGTGTGTGTGTGTGTGTGTGTGTGTGAGTGTGTGTAGTTGAATGTAGTTGCTTGTGGCTTAAAACAACACTCCCTTTTTATGATCAATAAACAACTGTGTGACTCTGTGACATTAGATTAAGCCACTAGCTCTGGGCAAACATAAGAGAAGCAGTTATCCCCATATATTTTCTTTCTCTCTCCCTAGCTTCTGTTTTTCTAATCATGAATCGCAGAATCTCAGGTTTCTGGATGCAATTTGTGATATTGGAGACATTCATCTTCTAAAAGTAAACAGACTGTAAACATGTCAAGATGCATCAAAGTGACATGAAGTGATTAATTTAATATGACATTAATTTACACGCTAATGAATTACGGCATCAGATATGGAATAGAGGATAAGCGT